TCTCCATAGACGCGCGGTTACACCATCTCCATCCTGGATTCGCGCCAACAGTCTTCAGTTCATTCAAACAACCCAGTCCAATTTTTTGGACGTTAGAATAAAAACGACGTGACCCAAATGCACACGTTTTTAAGTACTTCAGAGTGGGGATGGCTTTAAGCCAGATCAAGGCGACTAGTTAATGGTAATAATTTATTTATCGACTTGCCCTTCCGCTCGTCACAGTTCGTCCACTTTTACTGCGGGGTTTTGACCGATTCACCAGGATCGGTTTTCGATTTACCAACTTTTGGTAAATTGGCGCACACTTCCTGAGTTACAGCATCTACTGACGCCGCGGTACATGTAGGAACGTTCTAAGTCCGTGAGGTGAGCATATTTTATCCTGTTGAGAGAACATAAAAGGAAGTGGCGCGATAACACCAAGAGTCTGTGACAGGAAGTTTTATTGGCTGTACTGAATCTGCAAGCGCTAAACTTGCATGGCGAAAAAGGTTACGAAAAGTGGGGCTGAAGATTTTCTGCAGAAAATTGGTAGGACGACAGATATGGGATTATTGAAACAGCTGCTGAGTAAGCTCTCTTTATTTGAAAACGGTTGATGCGGCAATTGCTTAGTTGCCCATTGCCTATTTTTAACGTAGCGCATCTCTACAAATGCCATATTGGGCGCCCATTCTGGTAGGGAGCCCGAGTAGATTGTCAGTCTCATCGAATCACAGCCAAGACACCGTTAAGCTTCTGAACAGACACCAAGCGTGTCCTGAATCAAGACGCTCTCACACCCGACAGTTCGACCTTCATTGCCGACAATGTCCCCCGTGCGATCCAAATCAAAGTGAAGCAGACAAGGTGACTTGCGCGTGATTTAGTCTATAGTGGTAGTAGACTTGCGAAGCATCTGCCGCCGTCTCTCTTCCTCCCCCACCTAGACCCGGTGTCAAAGCATAGCCAAGAGAACCGGAGACGGGGGAGGGCGCAGGTTAATCGTACGGTCCAGTCCGCACCTTGGCGCTCCACTCCACACCCTCCGGCCCACACAGCAAATGACCAGGATTTTAACCAACAACAAAAGGATGCCTGACACGGCTGGAGCCGCACCTAGGCGTGCCGCCCCGCAGAGTGGGAGTAAGAGCGAAAGGACTTGACACACATGCTAACCGTCCCTCCACCCTCTGACATGAGCGACGTTGACGTGGTCAAACCGCTAACAGGCTCCTACTGGTTTTTGAGGTTTCTAGGCAAGTGTAAGCACTCCTTTAGTCACGCCTCCAAGATAATCCAGATAAGCACAGTCTAAATAAGCCAGATTTTAATTAAAATTGGCTCCATCAATGTAACTGTCGAAGAACCGCCACAAGTTTTGCCTTTTGGAGGAGGGCGGCCGTCTTATTTTACCTGTCGAAGGAGTCAAGCAACCATTTGAAAGTAGGCTTCGAAGGCCATTGTGATTTTCAAACGCGACACCCTGAAAAATGACTTATTAGGCAATATGCGTGAATCTTAGAGGGCAGGTGATACCAGTTGACGGACGGTTGACCGGTGCAGGGGTAAGGGAATATTGAGGATGAGGCCAATACAGGGGAATCGATCCTCACAACAAATCAGCGCATGACCCACTATAATCAGTCTGACGCGGTTGGTGATTTGAATGGTCGCCACCTGACGGAATAACTCAGTCTCTCTCAGGAATGACAGCTAGGTTGCAATTGTCCTTTCTTAGTGGGGCCTTTATGTCACTTTCACTGATCTGAGATCCGAGTAGCCCCTGCGGCGTTCTAGCACGCGTAATTGATAGCAGATGGTGTGTAGCACGCGTAGACGTCCGTTTGACCCTCAGGCACCGCATTCACGCCCACCCCCGGTAGTCTTATCATCAAAGTAATGGGGATGAGAGAAGAAAGTGCGAGGTAGGTACTGCGCAAGTCTCTTTTGCTAGGCCCAATATTTCAGGTACGCAGTAGACGTCCTCGTTCGCTATTGTCGAATCGCCATGTGACATAGTGTGGATTGTGCAGACAGGGGAGACTGGAGCGAGCCTTCTTTGTCGACTTTGAGCATGACGGGCAGGTCGGATATACGTATCTGACCACCATGTCCGCCTGGAAGTCGTCCAGTCAGCTGGGATTGTTTTGCGCATAAAAATCCTGTCCCAGCGTGTTTTTAAGTGATGGTAAGGGTTGCCTGTTTGCGCTTAGATGACTTTACTAGCTCAAACATTCGTCCGCACTTGTCTTAGTCTTCGCACCAGAACCCTTTCGATCCATATTTTTCATCAGCCACTTCAGTTCGGCAACGATAGGGTGTGGAACCCCGAATTAACTTGACCTAGCCTGTGGACTGTGTCGTACGTTGGAGGGCGGTAGGCGGAGTCTTACGAGCTGGGCAGCACATAGGACGTAAGGCAAAAAGACACAGAAAATAGATGGACTTCTACCGAAAGTCTTATCGTACGCTGTCATTTGGCAAAGAAAGTGAGCGCTTTAATTTAAAAATGTTTATCATAGCACTAGAGTTTGGTGTATATTTTTGTAGTTGCAATCTACTTGTGGATCATACACCCTATAGTTACCGTCAGCTCTGACCCGTTACTTTCGAGGACGCAGACAACAAGATCACGCATCTCATGCACCGAAATCACTCTGCGCTCAGTCTTGACACCCGACGAGAGCGCAGCCTGTCATGCCCGTCAAACATTATCGAGCGGGAGTCTTCTGATTGGCTAATCGCCTTTCGAGGTCTACATGAACTACCCCAAGAGCATAAGTCCTGCCATTAAACCCAAGTTTACCATCATTCCACTACTAGAGACGAGCTGACGCCAAGGATCTGGGGGATTTATGTGCTAGTCCCCTGCCATTTTGACTTTTATGTCGTCGTCAGACAGGCAAACACCAAAGCAAAGCTGAATACCGGCTTTGAAACCTGTGCATATCATTAGCCATAATTCCTGTGGAAGTTTTGAATATAACACCGGTCTAGTATTAGTGTTTTGCTCTTTCGCCATAATTCAACAGTGTAAAGTTATCATTGATCTTCGTGATAAGGTGGGAGTTTGTCCTGGGTTTATTACCGTCCTAACAGTTCCTTTGGATATTGTCTTTTGAGTAACGAGCATTGGTCGACGTTAATATGTCTGAGTACGACTAAATCGCAAGTTGATATCTTTCAGATCATTAGCCGTCATTCCTGGGAAAGTGTTAAATATATCAATTGTTCAGTATTAGTGAGTTGCCCTTGCGTCATAAGTCAGCAGTGTAAAACTATCATTGATTTTTGCGATAAGGAGGAGTTTTAGACGACGGTAGGGTGAAGGACCCCTGTCAGCTGTCGGTAGACTGTGGATCGTGTGGTGGTGCATGTAATTGCTAAGTCTACTTAAGTACTGATGACTGGCAGTTGTACCCGAGAGCGGAGTAATAAAAACGGAGATCACTTGAGCATGAATTAAGGCCTAGCAGAAATGCCTCCCAGGGAATGGGCTCAGTTGTTCGATGGTAAGACACTCTTTCAAGATGGAACGCCATGGAATATCCAGCCGGATACCGTATCTGCATACATTCATCATTTTAGTCGGTAGCATTGTTCCTGCATCCCGCCAGCTTACTGTCCGACGTGCTGCCTCACTCGTAAACCCCCCATTACCTCATTCCCGTATGGCACGAATACAATATACCGACAACTAATTGGTATCCTTCACCCCATTGTTGCCGGGTTTTGTGCTGAATTAATTGTTGTCCTAATACTTCATGCAGATATTGGCTTTTACATCAAGACCACTGGCTGACGGTAATGCTCCTGAGTACGACTGAGGCTCAATTAGCTGTCGTGGAAGAGCCATTTGTCCTGAAGCAGAAGTCCGCCTCAATTAACTGTACAACGAAGACATCCAATCATGCGGCGGTTGTGTGCACTGGTCACCCAAAAGAACTGTGCCGCTGTTGCGCATGACCAAAAGGGTCTCTCTCCGCATATGGCATGCGTTAGTCGCAGCACACCCAGTCTGTGCGAGTTCTTAACTGTTACTGCAAGAAAACAGGCCAGATAGCCACTGTTGCGTTGCATTTTCCCACTAGCATATGTGAGGGGAAGACCAGTGTGCACGGGTTTTGTGACACCCCTCTCCATCGTGCTAACACAGTGCACTTCTCCCCACGCTGAACCCGAATTCCATGGAGCCATCAAGGTGTATTAAAAGTCGTGACCTGGATAGTTATTATTTACATCTCCTGCAGTCAGATTCCCCTTCGTTGACACCTTCGATTTGGCTCTAAACAAACCTTTCGTATAGATAAAAGAGTGATCTGCGAGTTGCACATGTTAGGCCGGAAGGAGAGGTTTGACTCACCTGAACTGCTGCGTCCCATCGCATCTCCCGTTGGTTATACGGTCGGAAGTTATAATTTACAGCATATGCTACTCCCTACATTTAAGTAATATTATTTTAGCGCGTATATTGTGTGCCTCCTTCGACGTCTACATGCGAAGCAATGGATCCCGACTGGAGCAAAAGAATTCGTTTCCACATCACTGGGACCATTTCAGTACCGCGTAATCATTATTTCATAATTTTTAAACAATGTGTATACAGCGACACATTCATACGAGTGTTTCATGCTTGTTGTATGTAATTACATACGTAGCCTTCTTTCACAGTTGCCCTACATGTTGTTTTTAAACACGTTATTGTAACCAATAAGAAGTTCAAAGGCGTTTGCCTACCTTTCCCCTAACAAAATGAACTGAACTGAACTGGACATAGGCCAATGGCATAAGTGTTTAAAAAGTGAGGATAAGATTAACTCAGGGCTTAGCTCTTCATAACAAGCACATATACTCCACGATTTTAAAATTGCCTGGGTGCATTTAGAGTGCTGGCTTGGAGCGTTGCTATCTGGGGAGATAACCTGGTTCAGGTCGTAATGTCCCTGCTCCGCTCAATGTGGCCTTCCCGGCCCTCTCACTCATGTGAGTTCCGAGAACCCTCACTGGAGTATTATTCTTGTGGATCTATGAGCCAGAGCACGAATTGTAGCCGTGGATGTAACTTCCGCCTAGCCAACCACTTCGTACGAGCTCTTCTCCAGTTGACCTACCGTTTAAACATGATGAGTGTGCAGTACATGTCTTTCCAGTAGGCATCTCCGCGCCCCCCTGCTGGCAGGGGTGACCCTCGTCGGTTATCATGGGCGACCAAAGGGACGTGTTTTAGTTGATACAACCTTTGCCTTTTGTCTTGACGTTCAAAATCAAACCACTTGGCCATATGCGTTGCAAAGTCTTATAGGCCCTATCTGACGGATTTCTAAAGGCGTAGGGAAATACGATCTTCCTCGTACAGCAAGTATGTAGTTGTGAGTCACCAGGACCATCAGGGACCCCCCTCTAATCCTGAAATACATACAGGCTAATCGATATGGGCGAAAATACGATTTCCAGGTAGCATATAAAAAGAAGAGGCGGCGTACATCAGGAGAGGTTTATTATAGGTCTGACGTTACGAGTAGATAGTCCGCCTATTCATGACTTCTCAGTGTCTGAAGATGGGTAAACGAAGCAAATACTCGACGCTTCAGACTTCAAAAAACCTCTCTCGGTTAACGCCTCCTCTTCTTCTGTTATATACAGGCTTTTTCGACCTCAAGCGATCTGCTGACGATCACGATGGACTTTTGTTTTCGTCATCTTTTAGTAGTTTTGTCAGTCAGCAAAGAAGTAGCAATGTCACATCTCCCCATGTTTTGAGGACTGTCTCAGCCTTCAATGTCCCCTACTCGCCTGGTGTCTAGGCAGACTGTGTCCGATTGCGTTGGGTTTCTTCTGTCTCGCCACACTGACGGCTACTTCTGTTGTCAACCTAAAATACTATGATAGCGTCTGTAAAGAATAGCCTCGTCCGGCTTAGGAATTTTACCTTGAAGATGACCATGTTGAATGCCTATATACCCCAACCTGGTTCTGCCAGACCAGCATATCTACCTGCACACGACTGACATTTTTTTACTCCTTAAAACCGACCAAATCACATTCATTTTTCCCTTTTCAAAAATGAAGAAATTTTTTCATTGTTCGCCAACCATTTTAAAGTCAAACTGCCCATTTTACAACCACGAACAGAACACATCACGGTGTTTGCGTACTCGTTCTCATATTCATTCAAAATGCATTCTTTAATTTCCATGATGGTATCCTTATAGGCACCATATAATTTATTAATTCTTTATAACTTATAACAGCGACAGCCAGGTACAGGCCATGAACTTGCATGTTAGTGGGACGGAAATGTCGCGCTTATTGAGGAACTGTCTGTCGCATAACCACGGCTTAGACATCTTCTTATTTTTTCTATCTTTATTTTTTGCGAAATATCGTCCTTTTTGAAAGTGCGAGCATCCAGTGACATTTAATTATCTGGCGACTTAAGCATTAACGACACATATGGGCGCTGCTAGTGTGCATAGCCACCCGTGTGCTTGCTATGTCTCTTCGTGCTTTGGCGCATTTTATCCGTTTTCACTGTAGTTGATAGGATAAAAAGCTTCAAAGCTTTTTATCCCTTCCTTCTGTCTTTTCAGTCTCGTCATGAAAAGTCGGATATTAGTCTAAAGTCCGCTTGTTCTTCCTAAAACACCAAGAGCCCCTTCGTTCGAAAACTCCTCACGATCCGCATTTGGAAATTATCGGTGATATTTAGCCTTCATTGTACCACCACACAGAAGCAAATTTTTGACTGGCCATTGCTGATTTTTACTAGGCTGAAATTTACGCGCAAGGACGAAATTGGTCGACAGTTTTTTGAACCTGGTCGCACGGTTCTGAGTGGCATTGTCTCCTCGGTGGTCTACTTCAAGTACGCATCGTTTCGTTGTTCCTAATGAGTCAGAGGCCGTTTGTTTGACAGTCGGAGTTGCTTCTTAGCATTACTAAGACTTAAGCAAGGTAGCGTTACACAAACGTCTTATGTGCGAGGGACTTATCAGTATAGAAGATCTCGATGTTGTGTATACTTTTTGTGCAAGACATTTCGCTCGTTGGCCACCGTGTGCTAGCCAGGAATTAGCGCCCATAATCCATTGTCTCCCTGCAAGGAGACAGGTAGTCGAATGGGAAATCCTCCTATAACTTTCTCCTTTCGCTACCTTACCCGCTGTCCATAGTAGCGTTTCCCGAGATTATACACAACCCCTTCTTTCACGGGTATAGCAAACGGACTTTTCGCTAATAGTTTATGCAATTCCCGTTCAGACATGCGTAATTAAAATTCATGCCAAAGACCTCGTCGCTATCCCACCTACAATGACGCAGGGTAGTTTGTAAGTAGATTGGACTGTTGGATCTAGTGTTAAGTGCAGACAATTATGGGTCCTCCTCCAGTCACTCTATAGCCCCTCTTGCCGACTGCGCCAGGTGAAGTCATCACGTTCCGGCCTCCCCGCAGTTCTGGGATGCTAACGTCCGTCATCTTAATGCCATCGAACGACGTATCCGAAGACATCCCAGGAGCTCCCCCTAAGGCTTACGTATTTTGTTCCCATACCGGCGTAGTCCCCCACATCATTTACGTCGATGAAAGGTGCGGGAGCAAGCCATTGACCTTTTTAAGGGTCTCTACAGCCTAAATCAGCATTTACTACGTACGGGCGTCACTAATGCCTACGAGGTAGTCGAGAAAGTGGGTAAAATCTGTCCTGACATCTCCAAAACAGCCAGACATACGCACAAGCCTTGCGGACATCTTTACGAATTGCGCAGTTTGCGTGACAACCCACGACTTTGACATGTGACGTTAATGGTATGGTGTCCTCGTTCTTGGGATGAGCCACCCGAGGAAATAGCCGAAACTCCTCCGCTCTCCATAGTTAAAAGGCCTTTCGGTCTCGGTGCTGGTTGGTTTTTGCCGTGACCTACTCGCAATCCTGGTTCTAGACTCTGAGATATTCGCCCAAAATGCAGTACGCCAAAGCACTTGCTTTCTTCATATTCTTGTCGTTACTTTGATTTACAAATTTTAAAAAAGTCCATCATCCGAATTCAATGCCATCGGTGATTTTCCACAAAGGGAAGCAAGAATTGCCGGATTAATTCGCCTGATTTTTTTCTATTATCCTTTATCTGCTGTACCCGATGCATATTTTTCGTGTTTTTTTTTTCTCCGCATATCACGCCGTGCCGGTCACTCTATCTCGGTTTCTTCTATTTTCCTCTCCGTTCGTCGTTTCAGTCACTCAACTCACTATCCGCACTCTCCCGCTCCCCGCTCTTTCACGCACATTTTGAAGCCTGTGCCCATACATGTCATAACAGGGCGTCGAAATTCCGGGCGAACCCAGGATGCTTTCACACTTCCCGGTGGTCATACCTTTGTGTAAAATAAATCCCGTGGGGAACTTATCATCTTAAACCGCTTGAACACTGTTCGTTTTGGTTCCGCGCTATTGGAACTCTTTCATGGCAAACTGATGGGATGTAAAACTTATACTTGGCTCGACGGTGATCATGTCTCATCTGCAGGACCTTGCTTATGTCACAGATTGTACATCTTTTCTCTTGGCGAGTTGCGACAGCGAATCCGGAGGGCCTCACTCACCTTTTTTCATTTGATCGTTGTAATATCATCGAGACCGACTGAGTCATGATTACAGCCTTACCAAGTTTAAGTACGGGTAATTGCTTTCATCCACAACGACGGAAGTCTAATATCAGGGATCCGAAAATTGTCTCTATATCTCGGTGGGCCGTGTTGAGTCAGATCGAGGGCTGACCTCCTCTTTGCCCCTCCATGTGGACAATGACACTGGTCCAGATACTAATGATTACGAGAGTCAAATAAGTAGCATGAATTGTGGAATGGATGTCTTCCCTATTCTGTCCATTGGTAAAAGCTTCGTTCTCAGATATTTGATACCGTTCGCATTTTCTCACTAGTAGTGATTAATCGTAAAGTTTGCCTTCTCCCGGTCAGCAGTGCTACTCAAAACACTAGTCGGCCAAATTTTATCGACAAACTGGCTAGTTTAACGACTTCATTCACCCATGACACCAAAACTGGATTATATCGTTTGTGTAACCGAAGTCCGTCAGCCGGCGCTCGGACTAAAATTCAAAATCGCCCAACCCGTGTATGACCCTTCTGCGAATCCTGCCAATGGCGTAGTCAAACAGAATAGGTGAAAGGATAAAACCCTCTCGAACGCCAACTCGAATGTCGGACGATTGGGACAGAGTGTTGTGGGCCGGAACTCAAACAGTCGTGAAGCAGGAACGGACGTTAACCACGACGGTTTTGGCCGGCGTACCGTCTAGATCCACCCAGAAGCTTTTACCAAGTCAGTTATCATAGTTCTTTTTGCCAGCCAGAAGGGCGGCCGTGCTCAAATAATCAGGAATAATCTCATCTCTACATGCTTGGTGAATCATCTCGCTGACCCACAAGGTCAGTCAATACATAGCCTGTAGACTTCGCAGTGGGCGACGTCCTTTCTGAATGTCTTGTTATCACACAGCCTCGGTATTGCGTCGACAGTCTCTTTCTGGGAACGATGGTCCCAAATCTGAATAGGTTACATAAGAATATAACTTCGAGGTAGGAAAGAAGACAGGTGCTGGGCTGCTCGTCGAAATGGGGAAGCTGCTTACTTCTGGGTTCGACTTTGGCGGAGTTGTCGGCAGTAAATTCGTCATTCACATTACGGTGTCATAATGCTTTAGACGCCCACCACTAATTCGGCGAGTAGTCTGATAACAACGTTTATCGACCACCTCATTTTGTTTTCCATTCCAACCAAACATTTTTTACGGCTATGTCTACCCGATCGGAGGAATCCTCGTTGCCGAACCTAGCCCGAGGTGTCAGGTCAAACATCGGTGAATTTCCTGAGCTGCGTGAATCCCATAACTACTTTAGCTACCTCACCGACCGCGGCTTTCAGTAATAATCATTTAGGGCCACTCTCCCCGATCCGGACTTTAGAGCCCAAAGCCTCGGATTTACTGTTTCATCTTACTTTAGTAACAGTGGGTGAGGGGTGAACTTTCGACCGTGTGCGAACAAGAACATGGCCTGATCCATAGCCTTGCTGGTTTCGGCACCAGACATCGTTTCTTCGTTATGAACCCAGTTAGGGAACCCCGAACTACCGGGGATGTCTTCAGTTTGGTTGGTCTTGCAACCATCATTTGAATGCCAGGTCAAATATTTGCGATGATGTTGAACGCACTTATTTGTGATGATCAACCTGTCCTCGTATGCCAAGTCTAACATTCTCTGGTCATTGTTGCATAGAAAACTAAGTCAACAGCAACCAATGAGACCATGTTGAAGTTATTTCGCCTAAGTTGATCATGCTAATCTATAGCAACAGTCGGTGCATCACGGGGGGGGGAGGAGGGGGGGGGGAATCTTTTGACCAGTTATTGCATCAGCGAGTAGGCTTCTTGATCACGCTGGTTGGCTGCTAGTGTTAATGCGTACACGAAGACGACACAGATGTGGATAAAGTTCCGCTTCGGTCCTATGGGCGTTATTGGACCATTAACTGGTTCCCGCGCAAGTGCTGCGTGATTCATATGTTACTAAAATGTGATCGCCACACTTCCTCTACCAGAAGAGTCGAGTGAACAGCTGCGGTATAGGATCAAATGGATTATGTTCCCCGGATTTTCATTCTCCACGAACTCAAGTCTGTCATTCGGACAGGCAGCAGACATTCACGTTGTACTTATGAGGACTGCACAAGCAGTCTCATCGATTCGTTCTCGCTTGAGTAGTCCAGCTCGCATGCTGTTCTCTTTTGCGTGTGAAGCGGTATTGTGGGGTGTGCCATTCCTCTTGAACACCGCAGCATAGATTGTCCCACTGTGTTCGGACACTTTTGTGAGTTCGCTTGGGAATTTTGTGTATAGTTGTCCCAAAATGCCTCTAAAAGTTGTTGTTTCTAACGCCTTAGCTGTATGACCTAACTGTAAGGCGCAGTCGCAGGTAAACTTATTTACTGCCGTTTCATGGTACTGTCATCGGACTTTGCTGTAGTTTAGAAGGTAGTTGACATGCCAGACCACAGTCACTCACGCCCCAGCATTACTGTTGCTGCTGGTTCGCCACTGCTCATTCCTCAGACCTGCGAGCTTGTGTACTTCGTAGGTTAGGTATGACCGAACCTGCCTTGACCTCTTCTCACTACTTTCCCAATTCCCCCTTTTATCTCTGTCTTACCTTAGCGTGAAATATTTACCGGTCTTAAGGGGGCGACACTGATCCACAAAATTGAGTCATTCATACCTCTTGCACGAACGCCTGACTGCCTGCGACAACCTGCCAAGCTATCGCACTTTTTTGCGTGTTGCTCAGAATTTGAGCTGGAAAGTGGTAACATCCATTCTTAAGTCTTTAAGCAAGTGCCATTTAATCGCCGTCTGTCTGGGAACTTCCAGACCTGAAAGTTAGCTACCTTCAGGTCTTTCCCAAGTCGTGCACCTAGGTTTTTTGAACAAACAGTTTGGCTCCTTAACGACCCTCGCCCCCATTATCAATGCACCAAACGATGTCACTTCATCCTTTTTTGAAACCCGTTTAGCCATGGTTCGTCGCCGCGCAACGCCAAGGGCTGGCAGGGGTGGCCGGAAGTCAGTGGTTAAGCCCGCTCTGGAGGACAACGATGACAGGCGATTTGTAAAGCCAAATGCTATCAGTCCACATCTGTTCTGCCCCATCTGCACAGAAGTCTTCAACCACCCTTTTCGAGCTCCTTGCGGTCACAGTTTCTGCTTCACGGTGAGTTATCTGACCTGTGTAGCACGCTCGAACTCTAATGCTATCCACCTGCAGTTGGCTGAGAAACATTGTCAAACACAATGCGTAAATTTGACTCGTTTTCGAAAGTTGTTGCACCTACCAAGCGTCTTCTTTTGGTTCGGATGATATATCCGGAGTGTTGTCATCTTTGCCTACCCAGTGTGTCCTGTTCGTCCTAACCCTGCATCAACTCCTCTTTCTTCCTTAGTGCATTGAACCGTGGCTGAAGAATAATAACACCTGCCCCATCGACCGGAAGCACGTGGTCAGAGCCAGTCTCCACCACGACTTTATCCTTGAGAGCATAATTGGAGACTATTCGGTGAGCTGCACTCTCCTTTTCCTTCTTATATTTGCGACTTTATTTCGTTATTCACAGAGCACAATCAGTTAGAAATTCGGGAACTTCTTTTGGACCTAGTACATGAAACAAGGTTTGTCAGGCTGTCTTGCGTTGTCTCCAGTGTCCGCCTTGGTGTCTGTCATCGCCTGGAGCAGAGGCTCTGACCTCTCATTGCGTCTTAGCGGCCCTCTATTCGGGTGTTTTCTACGTGAAATTCACCTTCTTTTCATCGTGGCGAACACTGACAATAGTTTGTAATTTTAGCACTTTTTAAGGTCGACATTGAGAAATTGGGGGCTCACACCTGCAAACCGCCGATTCCCCAAAGTCGCACTTGTAATATAACCTCTGAGTTGTCGCAGCCACGCTTTCCGGCTGTGATGAATGGACGCGTCTTTTGTAGGCTAAGGGAATGTTCTTCTTGATTAACTATTGTCAGGGTTGAAAAGTCGTCAGAATCAACGACTAACTCTTGCAACTGTCTGGGACGACTGGCAGAGTTAAATTAATAAAGAACCCAACTCAGATATAGAAGTCAGTAGTTTGACTGTTATTTAGCGTTTTCTGACTAAATGTGGTTTCTGGTTCTCACGGTTTTCCCTTAATAAAAGAAAGGGTTTCGACAGGAGCCTTAACATGCTAAACTAGCCGCGATGACTCAGTGGATCCCTTTGATAGATACATTCTAGGGCAGCATTCTCCACATTGTCACAGTCCTTTTGTTTATTAGTGAGGAACAGTCCCATAAAAACAGACTACAAGCGAACGCCATGTGATGCAATCTAAAGACCCGTAGACGGAGCTGCAGTGGTTGTTTACAAAGTAATTTGCAATGATTATGAGTGCAACTACATCGGAGGGGTGAAGGGGGGTTGGGATATGTAAACCAGCTAGCAGCGCGAAGAAATCAGACAGCCAAACCACGCATTCGGCTTTTTATGGCAGTCGTTGTAAGCCAAGACACTTGGTAATCTCATCGACTCACTTTACAGGCGTAGCTGCCAGTTCGACCGATCGATAAAGTGGCCTGACTTCGGCTTACCAGGTCTTGTGCTATTACGCTGAATGGTAGAGTAACTTCTGGGAATTGTGAGGTTGAAAGTGGGCTTCACCGCCGGGGCAGGAAGACCGACCAGCCTTTTGGCCGAAACACCTAATCACCGATTCCAACAAACTTAGACGAGGCATACATTCCGTGCCCGGTTTTATGAAATGCTGACCAAAGTTCCTAAATGCGTTTTCGTCTGGGAAGGATTGCCTAGGAGGGGTTGTAATATTTATCGTCATGCAGCATGATTCCATGATATTTCAGTTACGTTAGGATGCCGGTCTTTGAATGCTCTTCTCCTCTGCCGCTTGCAAAAGACGCACACGGTAAAAATGGCTACTTGAGCAGTACGAATTTCGCCATTGATTTTCGGCGTCCCTCAAAAACCAGATATATTTAATAGAAAAAAAACAGACATAAAAATCCCTTCTTGCACTCGTTTGGTTACTCGAAGGAAAGGCATGTTTGGGTTTTGGAAACGTTTGCAATTGCTCGATTTCTCAATATCTTTAAATGTCTCTTCAAATGCCATTGTATCCATCCTTTACTTAATGCTCCTCACGTAATGTGCAACATAGTCTACATTTCGCAGTCGACTGAGGTGCACTCAGGAGCTGGCATCCTGGCGGGGCCGAAATATCTTTAGATTAGACTGCAACCATTTAAGTGATCTAAAATGCATTTCAGAATTTTGGCTAACATTCATGACCACACAGATATGTGGCTATGGGCGCCGTTGTACCAATCAGTCCACGACATGACATCATCTTACCATCTTAGAGAGATCGTCAAAATTCCGTTCGATTTTATTATGTAGTTCAAACTCTAACAATGTCTATCATACAAAAGTATTCGAAGCATCAGAAATGTTACATCCAGAGGTCTCGACTCTCCCCCTACTTCACGCCCGATCTTGTTTCTACTATGCCTCCTATACCTTTGGGCCACGTTCCTATCTAGCTATCATGTCTTCTGCAGCCTCTCTTCTTAACTGTTCCTTAAGAACTTTTCATCTGTGCTATCAAGACAGACGCGCACTTTAAATAATTACTGGTCAGTCTTCAGACGTTGTAAAGAGCCGTAGGCTGGAGTTCAACTCTGCCTGGCCTCAAACAACGCTGGATAAAGTTGGTTACTGACCTCGGCGATCCGTGATACGCTTCACGAGACTCGCACAGCATGTAGTCAACAAGCCTTTCATTCATGCATCGCATCTCTTTACAAGCTACTGTGTGAACTCGGTGGCGGTGGTCGTCTTCGCCGTTGTCAGGTGACTGAGGAAAGAGACTGCGATGGGTGCTGTGCAAGTCTGGATCACCATAAATGAATTCACCTCCAACTCCTTGGGATGCGCGGTAGATATCATTGCTTGTGACCGACAAGCCGTCAGCGGCGGTGACCATTACACTCCTGATCATATGAGATGGTTTTCTGCGAAGAGGCTGATTCGATTCCCCTTTGTACGGCGCGACGCGACTGCTTAAACGTCACATAAGTTCTGCTTTGGACTCATTTGCAGGAAGCCCTTCGTGGCCGACGCCGATCTCTGTAATTCCTGATCTACAGGAGACATCCAATCAGTATGACTCTGCTGATTATGACGCTGGCAGTTTCCAACTGTTAAGGCGTCCACGCTGCTAAATGTTTTAGGAGAATCACTCAGGATCAGCGGTTGTCTGTCTTTGATGGACCCATATCAAGACTTCCTTCACTTCATTTCCTCCATTACGCTTTGCTGTGAAAACATGCGCCAGTACGCTTCGTTGCGCGAATTCTTTTGATGGATAACTTGCTTCTTAAAGAGTGTTTTGTACTAAGCATACTTTATGTTTCTCCCTAAGGTGGCATGCCCCTGGCGCTCCCTGGGTTGCAGCTATGTCGGCGCATTGCACCTTTTGGCGGCACATAAGAAGCAGTGCGTAATGAATCCCGACCACCTACCCGAGGCACTCAGAGTTCGCGAGTTGCAAGCCCTTCAGCGGGCCAGCAGTAGCAGTCAACTCTCCGAGACTGCCTTCACTGGCAACACTGCTACCACCGCCGCCGCCGCCCCCTTAAATGGGACTTGTTCTGCTTCAGATGACACTCTAGTCGATTCCGCCATAGGCTCACCAGCGCAGACGCCGACGACGATCGCCGTCGCAGAGTTGACTGACGGACAGGGGACGGCCCCAGCACCTGCGGATGAAGAGGCGACTCCTCCGCTGCGACCACTCAACGACTCTCCCAACATTACCGGCGTGACCGATGAGGACGAGGAGGATCTGCCGCCAGCTCCGTTGCCAAGTCTGCTTTTTCGACTCTACCAGAAGTCGGATGCGGATAATCGCAACCTCATGTGCTCCTTCTTCAGTAGTGAGCCAGCGATCGCGGCCCCCGGGCCGCCATCCAAGCGCCGGAAGCGAGCAACACCCATGTGCGAGAGGGATACATTTGTTTTGTAGTGGAAAAGGGGATACCCTTGTCTCTGCCCCCCCCTCCCCCCACCCCCATCTTTTCTCACTCCAAATGGCATTTCTGTGACTGACATTTTACAGAAAACGTCACATGTACACACTCGCCCACACTTATATCAACATTTTTGCAGAGCATTTTAACTACATCACTAATGCCTATGTCCCTTTTTATCTACTTCCATCTTATTGTCATAATCGGTTTGTCGGTATAAATTTTTATCTAAATCCCTCCTTGTTCACGTCCACTTGGCGTGAGGGTTTCCGCTGTCACAAAACACTGAAGGTTCTTGAATTTCAAAATATGCGGTTTCAAGCCACGTGGTCTCTGGAGTACTCGGAGAGCGGCCTCCTTTTGTCTGTTCATCTTGTATGCACCTTGAGACGGTATGCTATTGGCTGGATCCTCGGGAGGGCCCTACAAGAGGGTGACAGCGTTGAGTTTGCACCCGGACACCGACAAACTGATCTCGACCATGCCGATGATATCGCCTTACTTGCTTCAAATTTTGGTCATCTGCAGTCTATGGTGTCAGGGGTGAACGAGGTCGGTTTATCCATAAACGCTGGGAAGACCAAAGTGTTTCCAGGCTGCATCCCTGACCAGGAGAAGGCACCCCTGGGGATTGATGGCTGTCAACTTGAAGAAGTAGACAGTTCTAAATACCTCGGAGCGAGGCCGCTGCCTAATGGACAGAGAAGAGACGACATTGTCTCCCGAATTGACGCTGCCCGACGGGTTTTCTCAAGCTGGGGGGTTTGCTTACTGTGGCTATTTCGTGGGGTTCCATGATCAAGTCTGACCCATTTGGCTTCCGTTTTACGTCTGAGGTTAGGATCAGGGTACCGGTTAATGGTTTCCGATTCTCGGGTTAGAGTTATGCCTTTAGGCCTTGGTTTTCGGGTTACGGTTGGGGTTTGAGCGTACGATTAGGTTCGAGTATTGCGGTTAGGTTTTCCAGTTACGGCTATGTCTAAGGGCTACGGTTGCGTTTACGATTTCGGTTAGGGTAAGGGCTAGGGTTGTCGTTAGTGTTAACTGTTAACGTTTGAGGTTGAGGTTAGGGTTAAGGTTAGGATTAGGGTTAAGGTCGCCGTCCGCTTCCCCATTCCTGGCTACCAACTGCCATCTAGTCAACTTGATTCAGGGCATCGCGTGGACCCCGTTGAAGCATTTCGTGTGATTTACAAGGTCCCCTCGAGCTACCCTAAACTACTGGGCCAGCGCCTGTTAGCAACAGCAGAAGAGGCCGCCATCAGGTTATGAAAACCAACTTGATTTCTCGAAGTCTGCACTGACAGAATACTTGCAACCTACCGATGTGTACGTACGGGTATTGCGCGAACAACATTTGCCACGGTATCCTCCATAGTGCCAAAATCCGATGTGAGACCTGCGTCCCAAGCTGGCGGGTATATCAAACTCGGCAAGGCTGTGGCATGTAACCCCACTGAGGGTGGCCGTAGTTAGCTACAAACCTAACGCCAACCATGGCCATGCCTTCAATGGAAAATTTATAACACGTAAGCATGTAAGAAGAATCCGGACATAATCGTTGCCTTAAGTCGAGCCCAAAAACCCTAGCCTCAACCCCAAATCTAAACCTTAACCCAGTTAACACCAATCCTAACCCTTGCCCAAATTCCAACTTTGAGCCCAAAACGGGCAAAGTTAATACCAATGACGCTATTGGAGTTCGAGATCGACTTCCGCATAACCCCTTTCGCAATCTACAGCCAGGTGAACCGTTGTTAGCACACATAAGGCATGAAGGTAGGCTTTTGACCAAACACTCGTGGGGGGGGGGGGTTACATATCCTACCCTTACCTGTGTGAACTGTCAATCGGGAGACGTGCCGACTGGCGCTCCGTAGCAGAGGAATGGCGAGAAATCCGGAGGCCAGCAGTTTTACTGGCCTGGGAATGAGAACTTTTTGGTTGTATGACTTAACTTGGTTTCTCAAAGTCGACACTGACACAATGCCTGCAACCTACCGATGTGTACGTACAGGTATTGCGGGAACAGCATTTGCCACGGTATCCCTCACATTTGCGTCCCAAGACGGCAGGTGTATCAAACTTCCTGAGTACAGACCTGATCGTGGTCAGGGGAACGCTGCAGCGGCCTTGTGGACAATCTACTCATTTAGAAGAAGGCGTCAAGTGCAGTACGTCAGTCGGGTTCTTGGAATTTAGCGTCCCGAAAACCCGACCTCTCCTTCCATTCGGCGTTGGTCAAAGTACCTGTCCGTCAGCTGATGACGTACTGGTGCCACAGCCAACTTTCGATTGTCTAGCCCGCCCCATTTGCTGTCATGCCCGACCGACTTGGCAATTCGACCGTTGCGGGGGAGGACATCCATCTTGTCTGAATCACATGTTGCAGACTTTATTTTTACCACTCAGAAATTCTAGGATGTCTGCAATTCGGGGCGTTCCTGCAACTCGGTGATTTTACTTTTGTGGCAGAGGTGGTAGCTGTTCAGTGCTAATGTTTATGCGACCAGAGGCGTCTGAGAAAAACAAAGTTTGCTTTTATATTTGACAGTTTTTGGCAATAATCTGCTGCCAGTGGAGATCAAAGTGACACTGGGTTTATTGGCATGGCTCCCTGCCAAAACATTCAAGATACTTGTTAGAATGCTGATGTTCCAGTGAGGACAGTGCCGAAATCAAAGGGCGCTATGAAGGCCTCTTAAAGGATGCCGCATGTCCAAATCACCGGCCACCATTCGCCTCCGTTGAAAATTACGAAACTGCCGCTACCGTATGGATTCCGATGATGGACTCTTACCTAACGTAACTCACTCCAGCTCATCCAAGGTGGAGTCTAGGTTGGTACGACTGCAGGTAGGCTTTAGGGCAACGGCGGTCCAATCATGAAGTCCTCTTTCACGCCTGCACACGCGTGGTACTTGTCGGTGGCAACTGCTACTATGTCACATCAGAGAACCTAGCCATCAACCCAGAGGGCCCACTTATCCTGCGGCTGGCATCCTTAAAAGCCACGCATGCTAGTGCTCCTCAACAGCTCAAAAGTGCTACAAGTGTTGCACAGTGTGCTCTCTCGTATACAAGCAATATGGACTTTCAATGCTAAGTATTCATATTTCCTCAGAAATTAATACGTTAATTTGTAGTAAAGTTTGGTAGGAAAGTTGATACTAATATTTTATTAGGTATTCGAACTCACGACAGTAAGGTAAGGCTTCAGTACAGCCAGTGCTCTAGCCACCTGAGCCACGAGGTCCCACCAGGAGACGTAAATTTTATCACATTTGAATCACTTTTACCCGCCCGACATACTGCAATGTCCTGAATCCACCGGATCTGATACAGTAAGCTGAGTGCCGAAGCAGTAGTTCCCAAGGAATTCATTTAAATTCTACCAAATGACTACCTGGCTCACGCAATTCAGAGGTATTTTGGCAGATTTTGAGTACTTGATCTCGACCCAACAGTATTTGAGTTTCCGTATGTGGAACCGCTAAGTTTGAGCGTCACAGCGGGTCAGGTTCAAAATGTTCGGAAATTAGAAACTTTAAAAAGCTAACAGTACTTTTTATTCGAACAAACTTTTGGAACAGGACGCATTTTGCTAAAAAATTTATGTAAGAAAATTATCCTTGTTATGTTTTCCATAAAATATATTTAAATTTAAACGGTCATCGAAAATCAACTGACGTGTGGAGTTGTCTCCGGCCCTGCACAAAACTGCAGATCACGACAGCTGATCGTGTTTCAAAACTCTGATAAACGGTCGGTCATCCAGTGGATAGGAGTTGAACGATCACAGTATCCTTTCGCCACCACCCTTAAATTTTGTGCTCCAAGAAAGGGTACCTATTGGTTTTTCGACCGTCTGGTAATTTTCAACACGAACTGTCGTTACAGATAAATTTAGGGCTTTCACCCCATCACCTGTGTCAAAGATGTGTGGTCGACAAGACAAGGATTCCCAATCAAAAGTCAGGGAAGACAGTTTGAGTTGGACAACTTTTGCTGCCTGAGGACATGCGTACACAAGGGCTCTGTAGGCAGTCGCCGCGAGCGCGCTCTCCAGGCAAGTTGTTGTCTGTGTCCGCCTTCGAGGTGCTGAGACCCAGCGCGTGTGTGCGCCTTTCGTTGTCTCCGCGTCCGCCAGCCAATCAGAGTGGGGACAGCGTTAATTGGCTTCGAGCACTCGCGAGGCTAGTGAGAAGCCTCGCGCGTCCCAGCAGCGTATCGACAAGGAGTGTGAGGCGGACAGGAAGGCAGAGTGACAAAGGCGAGGGGGGGCAAGGAGACGCGAACTACCCACACCTGTACACTCTCCATGTAGGGGAAATCATCTGTTCCCCTAGGCCGTTAGAAAGATACTGTTTAACGCTCATTACACTCTGAAATGAATGTGGATCATGTTGTATACGTCATAAGGCTCCTAATGAAATGGGCAGATAAGATTCCACTTCTGTGAATAATCCACGGCCTCTAGTATTCTCGTAGTTGCAGACTTTTTAAATCGCAGTTTGTTCCTTCTTCGAGAATGAACTTTGAGAAGGACGTCATTTGCTACCAAGTGAGTGCAAAAAAGTACATATTTATGTACGGTTTCTACAGAATAGACAAGGACAAAACGACAGGACGATTCCACGTATGCTGGGAGTCCTGATCTACCTCGGTTAGTTTGCCTAAAAGACAGAACACCAACGCACTGCCCCGCATCTGCCAAGTTTGAGCGACATCAACTTTACGGTCACTTTAGACAGAGTGGTTGGCTTTTGATGCCAGTTTCCGACTATGGATAACTCGACAGTCTGCTGAGAGCTAACATGTCTGTTTTTTTTAACTGCTGTTCTAGCCTGGGTGACATAAAGACAATCTAACTACTCGCCTATCTCTTCATAGTTGGTCCAAAAATTACCGTTTGGTTTGCATATCATCTAGCATCAAGCTGGAAAGCCAACTCTCGAGCACCCTCTGTTAAACGGAACCACGGACTTGAGAGGAC